TGCACAGTAAATTGAAGGTGAGGGACAGACACATGTTCAAAACACACTCAAATTAGGGGGAAGAAATCAATAGCATTGACCAGGCTGGGTAAAAGACATTTTGGAAGACAAAGTCCTTATGAGGTCTCTGAGAGTCAATTCCAGCTTCCTGTGAGGGGGTGGTGGCAGGAGCTGTGAGTGGGAACTGGTTTTGGGTTCACAGCTGCAGCTAAAACTGCCCACAGAGTGAAGACAGTGAAAGGCACAAAGCCAACAGGAGCTTTCTAGAGCTGAAGTTGATCTCAGTTCTGGGCTTAGGAATTTTATATGGAGACTCAGGGCAAGGCAGGAATAGATGGCCTTGCTGTTTAGAAAAACCTCTGCTGGTTCCTGGGATGTGGATGCTGAAGGAGCTTCCAGCAGCATGTGTGGAATAGATCCCTGAGTAGCTGCTGCCAGCTCCATCCCCACTTACCTGCACTGCTGGCTGTAGGGGCCCTGGAGATGATGTGCTGGGACAGAAGGCAGGGATAAGGATATTTTTTGGATCATGGCTGGAGGAAGAGTAGGAAGATGACTTTATAATTGCTTTTTTATCACTCTTTCTGACTATATTGACTTAATACTTGACACAGCTTTGGCTGGCAAGTAAGGCCCAGATACATTCAGAATTAGATACGACGAGGCTCATTCTTACATGAGAAGAAAATCATCGGTTGCTACAGAAACAGCTCCATATCAGTCTCGTGGGGCATCTTTGCATCTGGCTTTTTTTCCCTTCTCTTTTGCTAATCTGTAGATAAGAGTCAAAGCAAGTGCAGCACATCCCACATCTATATAAAAGGTTGGAGGAACTCTGCAGAGAGCAAAGTGTGAAAGAACATCTCATAGATAAGCTAAACTTAAATGAATGAGTTAATTTACACTCCCCCTGCAAATTTTTTCCTAGTTTTGCAACTCTTGCTAAGTTAATTGAGGTGAAAATTAAATGACACCAGTCAGCAAATATTTTAAAGACCTCCAAAACCAAGAAAGAGAAAGGGAGTATTTTAAAAAGGAGTTACTAAGAAATAGGAAAAAATCTGAGGGATTAGTTAGCATCTGTGTCAAGAAAATTGCATCTTGCAATGGAATAATAATCCAGACTCACTTTTAGGCAAGTTGTTTCACTTGATAAATTCAAGAATTAGTTAAAAGTAAGTGTATATTATGGGTGAACAGGGACCATTCTGCACACTGCAGACCAGCTCACCAACAACGTTCTTCAACTGGTTTCCTAAAATGTAATGAATTCTTGATGCTTAGTAGATTAATATTTATTGAGTGAATCAATGCTTAATTTATTAAAAAATTGCCTTCCTTGTATTTTAATATGATTTATTACTCATCAGTGCTTATTGCATTAATTAAGGATTGTGTTAATTTTGTGGAAGTGAACACGATCTGCTGCAGGTTTGCTCCGAGCCCTGGTGCCTCTGGGTAGTGCCAGAGATGGAAACTGCTCCAGGTGGGAAGAGAATGAATCACCAGTGGCCTCTTCCTGCCCTTGGGATCTCAAACAGCCAGCAGAGTGGAAAAGAGGATGCTGCCCCTTAAGGGTAGGACAGGAGTACAGCAGCAGCAGTGATACTGTGGTGATGCAGGGAATATTTCTGTTTGCCTCTTATAAATTATGGCTGATGCTGTGGGAATAATTTCTGTGTCTCTTGTGGAATGCCCTTTTGTCAACGTGGGTGAAATCCAGCCTTAGAGACATGGGAAGCTGTCACCACCTTCCCAACCAGGGACAACACTCATCACATTTCAGTGCTCGGATTGTAAGAAATCCTTGGGACAGTGGGTTGCCTGAAGATTGGGATGGTCCCAAGCATCTCAGCAGGGGCAGGTGTTTGAAAAGTGGAAAATTCCTAAAGGCAGAACAAAAAAAAAGCCAGACATCTTGTGAGCTGAGTCTTTCAAGAAATCTGTCAAAACAGGGAGAGGGTGATCATGCTGGAGGGGGGCCACAGCTGCAATTTGCATCTTTCAGCACTGAAGAAAGAAGCAAATACATAAAGCCCCACAGCCACGATTCTTCTGATGAAATTATTTTATTAATGGGTGTGACATTTGTAATGTCTCTCTCTTTAAATTCAAATACTGCTGTTTTTATAGCTGCTCATAAGTGAGTCTGTCTGGGTTGGTTTTTTTTTTAAATCCATCTAGTTACTAGGCTGCCTGCATCCAGCTGAGCCCTGGACACGGCAGAGCTAGCCCTGAGATCTGAGAGCAGGCAGGAATTTCGGGAAAGTGATTGTGTCCATAATTAGGGCATCTTTGCATGTTTAAATGCACGATTCTGGAATGCATTCTGCTGTTTGCTTCTCTCCGGGGCTGGGGTGAGTGTACACAAACTTCCCTTCAGGAGCTAAATCAGAGAAACCTCTTCAAGGTCCAGTGAAGGTCAGAGCTGAGAATTTTTTCCTCCCTCTGTCACCAGGCAGGCAGGAATCACCGAGCTCCAGCCTGGAGCACTCGGGTGGAGCCAGTGCCAAGAACCTGGTGGCATTTCAAATCCCTTGCAGCAGTTAGGTGTTAGATGCAAAAGATCAATGCTGCTCCACCTGAAGTCAGAGAAATAACTTCAGCCTAAAGTTCAACATATACACAAAGATTTCCTGGATCTGGAATTAATTTGTTTTTTCCAACGTCAGCTTGAAGGCAGTATTCAAAGTGGAAAAAAAGTTACAAACCAAACATATGACTTGTAATAATTTAATTTTATTTCCCATTTGTTTGACCTGTCCTATATGCTTTTGTTTTCCTGACACATCGAGCTAAGCTATTTTGGTTTTTCATTTAATGTTTATTTTTACCCCATTTAACAGACTCAAGTCAGGACTGGGGGCCAGTTGGGCTGCATGCCTTTCTCTCTGTTCCATATCTTTACATTTTCCAACTTTCTTTGATGCAGGATATTTATATTCCACTTTTTTTTTTCCTAGTAGAGAGGCTTTCACGGAGTATAGGCTTCAGATCCACAGTTTCTGCTCTAGCTGTTCATTAGGTATACAGCATTTGGAGTTCCAGTTGTGCTGAGAAATGTAAGCAAAGCTTTTGGCCCAGTGGGGGCTAAGCTCTGGCATTTCACAGCTTTGTACATATGAATCAGGATTAAGGTGCAGGATCTATATAAAATTTAGCTCATTAGGAGATGTTTTGTCTCACAGCTCCCATTGGGAAGGTGGGTCCCGTGCTCACACACAAGACTTCTTACTCTGCTTTGCTGCTCCCAGGAAAGGAGGGGGTTGAGCAGGTGACACAAGGGAGTAGCAGGGTTTTCTGCTTCCTTTTACCCTGGCACACCTGGAAAAAGTTTTGGCATACACTGGACCCAGTATTTTAGACTAAAGTAAATATGTTTGAGCACACTGCTAAGGTTATGCTTAGAATGACTTAGCAGAGTTAAGAGAACAAGGAGTACCTCTGGAAAAAGACAGATAGGAATTTTCTCTCAAGTATATTTTGTGTTGTACCAGATGTAAGGAATTGGAGGCCAAGAAAGTTTCAGAAAATGTGGTTTTTTCAGCCTGACACCCCACTTGGCTTTCCAGCAGGCCAAATTTGCTGCTGTGCCCAATACAGCTCAAGTGTATTCAGTGGATGTCCAATTTGTCCACGCACTTCAGCCAGTGAAGCTTTACCACAGAGAAATGATGGGTTTGGAAAGGAGTTTCATCAGTCATGATTTCCAAGGAAGAGCACTCAGGGTAGGGAATACCAAGTCAATGTTTCCTCCTCAAGGACTTTCAGCTGTCACATAGGGAATACAGTGAGTGCAGTGATGAGAATTAGATTGGAAGATCAATAGGGCTGACAATAAATGAAAGTAACACAGACATTATTGAGCAAATTAGGAGAGAGAAATTAAACTGGACAGTATAATCTTCAATACCTGCTAGACACACTGATGTTGGGCAAAGTTAGGAAGAAGACAGTAAGTTGGAAAGTGCTGTGATGAGGGGGCAGCAGCAGTCTGTCCGTGAGATGGGGAAAGCCCTGCTTGTACAGAAAGTACAGAAAGCTCTCAGCAGAGAGTAAAGAAACAGAGAGTACAGAAAGCTCTCAGCTCACAGAAAAGTGGAAAAAATATGATAATGGTCCAGGAGCACCTGGATTTAAGTGGCAAGCTACAGAGAGACAGTGGTGGAGAGATCACCTGAGACTGGGAACATGGAGTAGGCAACAGGAGCATGGCTACGTGTTACAGGAAAAGGGAACTTCAGATGCACCTCACCATCACAAAGGCTTTGGTGGGATTTTTGCCTTGTTCCAGGCCAAACATTTTCCTAACTTTCTCATAGTAAGGGTTTGTTTACCCTGTGAAGGTTTGAAGCCATTCCAGAAACCAGTCCTCTGTGTAAACTTGATTATTTGCCATAATAACTGCCTGTACTTTGCTGCCTGTACACATATCCAGTGATGATCAAATCTGGCAAGCTTTTGGGATGAGGGATATCCGGTGGCAATGAGATCCATGGGCTGACTGCACTCAGAATGTGAAGAAGCTTTCCTTTTATCAGTCCTGAGTTTGTCTAGATCCTCTTGCATGTCTTTGAAAGGTTCACCCCAAGGCAATATAATTGTGTTTGATCACATACAGGCATTGAGTCAATGATTGATATGAATAAAGAATTCATAGTTGCTTGTCCTGGTTCCATGTCTTCTTCCCCATGGAATCAGAAATCACTTTTATAAATATATCGGTCCATCTGTGCTTCCAGCTATCCATTTCAAGTATATGCTCCAAAAAAGAAATAGTAACACTTTATAAGCACCAATAAAAACACATTAAAAGGACTGAGGAAGGGGTTTTTTCCTCCCTCATAAAGTACATGTGGATCCCTTCCAAAGGAGTTACTGTGAGCCATGTAACTTGTAATTAATCCTGCTGTAAATGTCAGAACACTTACTTTGCAGGTCTAAGCTGACCCACTAAAATTAGTCCCCTTTTAACAATTCCTTTATAATTTGTTTTCCAGCAGAAACGGCGGCTTGACCTCCTGACAATAACCAGCCCTGGTAAGTGAGCTCTGCCTCGCCGCTCTCTTCTCTTTCCTTAAAGAGATGGTTGTCTAAATGTGTTTTTTCCCCAGTCTCTGACATGCAAAATGAAAAACACTGTTCCCCAGAAAATCTTTCACCTAATAACAAGTGACAGCTATATTGTGCTCGGCAAAGCCCCGGGCAGTTATCCGTTCACAGAGCTGCCTCTTCAGACCTTTACTCTATGAATTGGAGTGCTGATATTTCTTTAAGCCTCCTGGGGTTACAGTTAGTGGTTTATCTGCAGGGCAGATGCCCTCAAATTCACAAAGTGTGTTCAAGTATCACAGAAATGCAAGCTTGACTTTCCTTGGTGGAAAACAGGAGCAGTCTGGGGAGTTGGGAGATGGTGGCACTTGACCTGTGTGGGAGGAGACACAAGGTCCAGGCTCAGGGCTGAGAACCCCAAAGTGGGTCAGGAAATATTTAGGTGGAATTAAAATGCCTTAAACTATCTGCTTCATGATGGCTTTTGTCATTTACCTGTCAAGGAGATAACCCAAAATTTGTTCTTATTGGCAAAGTGTGGGGCTGTGGCAAGAGTGAGTTTTGAAGGTCTCAGCACCACGGTGGAAATGCAGGTTGGTTCAGTTGTGCTCCTCTGTGATCTCAGCCCATAAGGCTCAAATTCACAAAGTGTGTTCAAGTATCACAGAAATGTAGGCTTGACTTTCCTTGGTGGCAAATGGGAACAGTCTGGGGAGGCTGGGGGTTTTGGGAGGTTTGTGTGGCTTTTAATTTATTCCTATTTGCCTGGCTCACTTTCCATTAGCTGCTACAGAAGTTTGCTGCCCACCAGCTTCAGATGAAGCCCTGCTCAAATAGTGCCACATTTTGGTTAACTTTGTTCATTTTTCAGATGTGTGCATGAATTATGCTTTCAGGTGGGCTTTAACTGGGACAAATGAATTCTGGCCTTAACTGGTAATAATGTGCTAGCAGAGTGAACAGGTGTTATGGGAAGTGAACAAAATGTGACACACATTTGCTTGGATAACAATTTTGCATCAATAATTGTTCTGACACTCTAAATGTAGATATAATCTGTGACATGGTTTCTCCTTCACTAACCTTGTTAAAATAATAAGAATTAAAATAAGGAGGAGGAACACTGTGTTGGGACAGATGTTTGAGGCTATTGGCAATTGCATCACATTTCTGCATGTTCACTTTTCACGCAGTTTGCAATTATGTTAATGTATGCTCAGGGCACTTGCTGATAAAAGCAACAATACAGTGTGATACAGCTATTGTCACTATTCTAACTGTAACTTCAAGGACAAACATGGCACATTTTTCATTTTCCATATCTTCAGCATTCCCTGTTTCTAGAGGAAAAAGAAAAAAATAAAAGATCTCTGAAGGTCTTAATCATAGCACACACTCAGATCTTAGATAAGGGCACTGAAGTCTACGGGCACTTTCTCAATAAGAAAAAAGAGGATTGGGGACCAGAATGACTTAATGTGAGGCTTTTCTGTAAAACAAACTTATGATACTTTTCTCATAATTTCTGACACAGTGTAAAAGGGTTGATTGAGTTGAGTTTGTGCGTAGTCATGATCAGTAAATAGCTGTAGCTTTGGATCTCTGTTTAATAAAGCAATCTGCTAAATTAACACAGCAATTAGTTACAAGGATCTTCAATAACTGTGTAGGTAGGTATACTGCACTAAAAGTGGGGGAAAAGCTTTCGACAACAAAGAAAATATTTTTTTATACTGTCCTAAGGGGACACATACCTTTTCTGAAATGCAAGTTTTACCTCTTGATATTTAACCAGAATCTACCATAACTGGATACAGAGGGGAAAAAAATAATATTTGTTCATGATTACATAATAAAGTGCCTGTAGTTTTTCCTTCAGTAGAGGCATTTTCAAAAGAAGCTTGGTGCTGGATCAGGCCAAACTTACCAAAGAGCCTAAAGCTGAGATTTTTCAAAAGGGTTGAAAAAGTTAGGCACTCAATTCCTACTAGGATTGGAAAATGTCAGCCTGTGGATTAAAGGGTCTAGTTTCAGCCCTACAAATACAAAAATAAAATAAAATAAATCATAGCCTTGGGGCTTTTATCTGTCTTTGGAGACTGCTACTTTAAAATATTTAATTCTTTGAGTCCTAGTTCTAAGATCTGACATTGACAGTCTGCTTTTACAAAGTCGTGATATCAGTTATGATGGCTGAGATCAGCCATAATCACTGTCAACCCTTAATTTACTGATTCAAATGAGGGGCTGAGCTGTTTAGTTGCACCTGCCAATCCTCTGGGACTTGTTTCTGTTCTCCACCTTGCCGCAGGCAGGCAGCCTTTGCTTTTGGCAGAGGTCACACAGCTTTAGTTTGAGTTGTGAAAGTCCTCTGTGTCCCACAAGGGGTGTTGGCCACCAAAACCCTATTGCTTAATTGTAAGAATAGACAAAGGGCTTCAAAAGAAAAGGTGACCTCTGAGATTTGCACTTCTGTCACAATGAATATCATCTTTCTTTCCTGTGTGTGTGTGTGAAGCTCTTGAACGAGTTTTTCTACCTTTAGTCAAGAATTGATGGTGATGCCTCGCAGATAGTACAACAGCTGTTCTCCATGTGCTACTAAAACAATTTCCAAAAACTGGCCAGCCAATTAATGAGATTAATAGCAAGGTAAAATAAGGCCATTAATGTAAGTTAAGTGTTGTTGAGACTCAGGTGGCAAAACATCTTCTGTCACAATGAATATCATCTTTCTTTCCTGTGTGTGTGTGTGAAGCTCTTGAACGAGTTTTTCTACCTTTAGTCAAGAATTGATGGTGATGCCTCGCAGATAGTACAACAGCTGTTCTCCATGTGCTACTAAAACAATTTCCAAAAACTGGCCAGCCAATTAATGAGATTAATTGCAAGGTAAAATAAGGCCTTTAATATAAGTTGTGTTGTTGAGACTCAGGTGGCAAAACACTTAAAGAGAGTTTGTGGAATCATGGAAACCTTAATGTTATCTCATGGCAGTCACACTGTTCCCCATGGCCATGGCTGTTGCATGATGCCCCAGAAATCACCCCCAGATGGGTCAGAATTTGTGCCTTTCTTGTTCTCTGAACCTCACCCCTGCCTGTGCTGAACCCACACTGAGAGTGACCCAATGCTGCCCCTTGCCCTGCTCCACACGGCTTCCAACCCCCAAGCAATGTGTGCTGGCTTCCTGAAACCTGCCTGAACAGGTTCTGGGTATAAAAGCACATCTGTATGTTAAACTGAACAGGTATAGACCATTAATCTATACCCTGGACTGAGAGAAGTCTGGGCAAAAGTGAAAAAAATGAAAGAAACAGGAATACAGATGGCTGGAGCTGCAGCTCCAACTACGCCGTTTGCATGCAACATGCAGAGCTCACCTCTTCCAGCACCCTAATAAAGCAGGTATGGAAAGCTCCACACTGTGCCCCAAACTGGAGGAAGTCTTTGCTTTCCTGTGGATCTCCAGAAACAGCCAGACACAAATGATGCATAAGCTGGGAGCAAGCCAGACTCCCTCGTGCTCAAATATATTCCTTTGAAGTAACTGACACCCCTGTAAAATGTGGAGGGGAGTTCACCGCTCTGCCTTGCTGCTGAGTAGCTGGAGGAATGTTAAGTTAAATTTATCAATGCTCTCACCACACTCCTTTCTTCTTGCCCCTTGACATGTGAGGTACAATTAGAGTGCTGCTGTACAGTTCAGGGTGCCCGAGTCAGAGCTGGTGTGCGCAGTGGGGTGGGGGAAGGATGTTAAAAATTCATTAGGAGCTGGCAGGGACATGCTGGCAGGGAGTGGGACATAATGAGATTTAAGTTTTGGTAATTTAAATTTTCTTTAAACCCAGATTTACCTTTGAATTGGATCCAAAACATTTCTTTAACACTATTCTAGTTGTCTTTGAGGTTTAGGACCAAAGCTTGAGGTAGTTTAATTTGGCCTTGTTGCACAAAGGAGATGAGGATCTGCCCTTCATTTCTCTGTGATCATGTTCTAGTAGCACTTTGAACATGCACATGCAATCACATCACATTTTGTGGTAACCACTCAATAGCTGCAAATAGGATACCCCTGTTTCCATAGCTTTTCCATGGAGACACAGCTTTTTGCATCTCCTGTGTTTATGATAATAACACAGCTTTCCAATTTCTCTTCTCAGTAAGGTAAGTTCCTCTCCCACTGAAGTATTTTTTAATTATTGATACCATAAATGGAAGTGTGTTGGAAACTATTGGCTTTGAAAATAGCTAACATGTGATATTATCCAAGAACCATCAGGAAAATTCTTTTGAAATTCTCTTTGATTCAGCCATCCTCAGGGCTTTATCCTTCTCTACCAGTCTCTCTACTGCCAATTTAAAATAACATTCTCTTGAAATCAGTGCAATGTCAGGAGAAATTCATCAGCACCGTAGGTGCATGTTTCCCAGATGTATATAAACCTACTACATTTGGCAGCAGTAAATTGATTGCATTTAAAAAACCTGGGGTAGTTGAATATTCCGTAGTGTCCAGCTTGGCTACAGCACAGAATATAAAGTATTTTTTTTAAGTTTCTTTCAGCTCTGTTTTAGATGAAAAAACGTAAGTGCTGACTCCGTAATTCCCAGTTTTTGATTTACTCATATTGTCCTAATGTGTAAACAACATCAGAGCTTTACAGGCAGGGACAGAGTAAAATAATCCTAATCTCCATTGAGATTTGATCAGAAATGTTAATGGTTTGTATGTGCTTCCTCCTAATATTCAAGATCTTACACATTCAGACAGGGAAAAAAGCTTGATTTTAAAAGTATTTATCAGTCTGATCTATGTGGTGAAATATTCTCCCCCCTTTAATATCATCAGTGCTGCATGCTCTAAAAATGTCTCCATTTCATTAATTTGTGATATACTGCTACCCTGAATTCTTTTAAGGTGGCTTTAGCTTCTGCCATACATATTTTACTGCTTTAAATTATAGATATAGGACTGTTGCCTAGTT